ATGCTTGCAAATGAGAGGGCGTGTGACGAAACGCAGCCAGGGCAGCCCCTTCCACCGACTGATGTGTGCTCAGGATGACATCAGTTGGTGGAGGAGGCCGTTGAGAAGGTGCTGGAATCCACCCCCTCACGTTCCCCCTCGTTTGCAGGGATGATCACCGTATCCTACAATGAGAATGTACAGGGGGGGCCAAAAAAAAAAAGACATTTCTACCGAGTCACATATCAGCAAAGTTTTCGCAGCCCAGACAGAGAACGGGGATACGAGTACCAGGGCGGAAGATACCCAAGATGTTCCTCTATAAGCAGGAGCTGGCGCTCGCCCATCACCTTCATGTACACCAAAATATGAAGTCATCTCCAGCCGGCAACCTGACTGGAGAAGACCTTCGGAATTCATTCATGTCACCTCCGAACAGCTGCGAAACTTCTTGTATGGAGTCACCCATGGATAGCTACCTGGAGATCAGTACTATCGATCTGGAAGACCCCTAACATCAAGCAGCTCCGCCAACGTCGCTACGGTCCAGGACATCATCTTCACCTCAGTCGCCAAGGCGCCAGTTGATGGTGGGGACCGGACGTACCTGGGATGGAGAGACCGATATTTTCTTCGTGGGCCCCGGACTAAAGGTGAGCGCTGGCGGTTACATCGAGCAACTGAGAAGAATATCCTCCCCACATGTCGCCGCCCCTACCTTCCTTGGAAACTTTGTACTGCTACAGCATTGGGTGCCACCACGTGGAATCGAATAGGCGGTGGATGAAACTCTCGCTCTCTTGGAAAGCGAAGGGGGCTGAGTACCTGAGAAAGGACTGCGAATAATTTAAGCCCAGGTTAACCTGCTATGTAAACCCATCAATTACTTGGCTCGGGCGGAGTTAAATAGGGTGGTCTACAGTGGCGGAGAAATCAACGATCTCGCTGAACTCACGCACCCACTGACGGTCGCGTGGCAGAATCTCTCGATGGCGCTCCTCCAGAAGGCTGTGGCGGAGTATCATGATAGTATTTAATATGCTCTTTAATATGGTGGTAGAAGTGTCCGATAAGAATTTAATAAAGTGTAGTTATAGCGCCTCGAAAGTCGAGGAAGAAAAAAGTCTTTTTTTTTATGGCCCCCCCTGTATTTCCTCACCATGACCATGTCGTGAATAGTTTTCGACGACAAGAGCACAAACACCACTGATACTCCGAATTGTGTGACATCGATGATGACGGAGACAAACTTCCTGAAAGGATCTATCATTAATGTAGATAATGCAATTCATATCAAGCCGCTTGGAAAAGGCGTGTCCACGAACTGAACTGTGAGGGAGGCAACGCTGCGTGTCTGTGAAATGTAGCCGTTTTTACAGAAAGGAAGAGACATGGACAGCGTGTCGACGAAAGAGCGCAGGCGCCACAAGAAAACGTTGAAGAATGTTTTTTAAGGATAGCAGTTATCCTGAACGGACAACTTTCCACAAAACGCATCGCCCCCCCCCCCCGTTGAGTATGTCTTGGAACCTTTTGCTCTAGCCTGTGGAGCAGACCTGCTGTTATACAAGCTCTACTACGGCGAACCCTTCAGAACGGGGAACTAGTTTCTTTTGAAGGCCCAAATTAGCGACTTGAGTAATACACTAGAAAAAATTGTGGAAATTGTGAAAAAATGCAAGAAATGTATCCTCATCTTGGTCTCCCCCCTTACGAATTTTGTAATTTGCCGTCTTTTCTGTTTTCTAGTCCTCGAAGAATACCCCCTACCTCAAAAGATTTCCTACTTCCATATCTTTGTAGCGCGCCACTATGGCTTCATGCCTCTAATTTTTCAAACATTTCTGAATTCAAATGAATGAAAAGTTTCTGTTCATTTCTGAATGAAAAGTTCACATCACCTGACATTAGCGCCCATGGCACGATAGCCGATAGACGCGTACGGTTTCCGGCAATGCACCTTGTAGATTGGCCAAGTATTACGAAGAATATTCCAGCATTGTCCGAGAGCATACGCAGTGTACGTCGTGACGCCCATCAGTAGTAAGAAGAATACAATACCAATGTAGAGATCTGAATTGCGGAAGTATAATGAACAATCGTCTCGTCGACATCAATCCATTTTGAAAGCACAAGGCAGACCTTCCTGGGAATGACAGAAGTATCTGAACACAAGCCTATGCAGTGTTTTAGAAAAGTAGCCAATCTTTGAACCTGATTTCTATTCTCCTGATCATTCTTACCTCTCGTGTAGAAGAGAAGTATCTGGCTAGCTCTGACTGAGTTTATTTCAAAGGCTCGTGCAAGTTATGCGCAGTGCAATTCAAGTCTTCTGGAGAGTTACTAGGGCTGGTCTGCTAGCTGTTTAGTGTAGTATTTTCCGTGGAAGCAGAGTGCCTGCGGGCGCTATTTGGCTCAACGAAGGGGGGGGGGGAGGGCGAGGAGGACATGAGGGAGGAGTGAGGGCGTTTCCCACTCCTTCTGCTAGTTCATGTCAACTAATGAATCTAATTTTGATCAAGTCTGTAAAACCTTGCGAAGCTACCAAATGGTGTGAGTGAGCCTATTTGGTGAGAGAAGTTTACAGATCTTCAGAAATCTCAGTCCTGCTGCCACTCGGAAAGGGTTTGGTAGGTCTGAGAGGGATCCGATCCGAACATTGACCCCCGGCCCCGTGACCTGTACGAGCTTCGCTGAGTTCCAATTGATGCACCCACCAAGACGTGCTGCGCCTCCCTGTGAGCTGGTGATTTGGGCAGTCACTTCTAGCACTGCATTTAGGCCTTTCGCTAGATGGAAAAGAGGAGGAACGCACCAGTCAGGGAAAGGCAACGATCCAAGCGGCTGCATCTCGTATCCAAGCGGAGTGTGTCTTAAAGGCAGTTGGCACAATAATTTGGTACTCGGCCTAAAATGCTAGCAGGGCGCTATATAGTGGGGAAAATGGCGAAAAACGAAGTGAAACGGTCAAAAACCTGCGAAGAAAAGCCTTCGTTCAATGACTTGAAAAGCAATTTCGGACGAGTTTCCCGTAGGCATCTTGCCAATAACCGCTACGGTAGGTACGGCTGCACGTATGTACTCATATATCCATGCAGCACCGCAGCCGCTTCATACCAATCCCTTCGCTTCATATTTTACTTAGCAAATGAAGCAATACGAGCATCAGGTACGGTCGTCCATTTGTGGGCGGGCGGGCGTGGTGGGCGTTCGGGTCGGTATGTTGTAGGGGTCATATAAGGGTAACTTCCTTGGAAAAGGCGCTACACAGCGCCTGTTCAGGATCGCGGAATTCCGTCCTGCCAGTAGGCAGTTGACACGATAGACCCTTATTTGTCTTAGGGATTTATCGTGCCAACTGCCTTTGAACTTTTAGTGAAAACCTCCACGATTCACCAAAACAGTTTGTCTGTCACAGTTCAAGTATTCGCGGCCAAATTTACACGAGAACCAGATGAAACCTCAGAAAAATGAAGCTGTTACCGTTGATTAATCCCTTTGTTAGAGGCAGCCTGTTTCACTCAAAGGCTTTATTTGGCCCAAGGGGAACACGATCCGGACTTTGACCTCTGGGCCACGTGCTTGGTAAACGGGCCACCGCCATAACACCACTTACACCACTGTCAGATAAGCCTTTCGACATTTCTAATGCATCCTGCATGTCTAACGTAGATCATATGTTAGGATGAAACAGGGATCGCAGTAATAGCAAAATCGCATATAGGGTTGTAGTTGAGACCCTAGCGCTGCAGAAAGGCGGGGCGACCGAAAAGTTGTCGTTCGTTCATATTCTACGAACCTAACAACGCCGCGTGGCGACGCATTGCTGGGCCCGTCTCGAGCTGGTGGAATCTGCGCCGGCAAAAGCTTATTGTTGAGATTCCGTCGAACGACGCACGCATGTGCGTGTTCGCGGATGCTAAGCTCCTAATTCAACGCGCGTAAGTTTGGGGTACTGTGTACGCCAACAAATTATCCTGGAGGCTTAGAGATTGTCCCCTCGTGGACCCGAACATTTCTATGGGGGCAGCCCAACGACTATCACAAGACTGCTGAATTACAGGCAAAATATGGGCAGTTCGGTCACAGATCGCATGTCGCAACTCATGGCTTTCTTCGAAAACTTCATACTTACCTGCTACACCTACGAGGAATCCAACAAAGGCCCCCTAATGCAGTTCGGCAGACCTTTTTGCCAGACAGTTATCACTTCACACGTGCTATCCGATGTGCAACGCTACGCCCTGTGAATCACCATCAGTTTACTTTTGATAAAATTTGCATAACTGAGGCCATAAACAGCAGTTACCAAAACAAAACAAGCATTTCGATGTATCGAGCGCATCTTTTGAAGGTTTAGGGTGTTTTTTGCGACGCTATAAAAGTTCCATTCGTTCTCTGCCTCCGTCTGATATGAAGCGGTTGCTTCTGTCACGGGGTTCCTCATACGAACTGATAGCGATAGTTTTCGAGAGAATATGGCCTTTTTTTGTTACGAGTGATCCCCATGATCATTAGTCCTGAACCACTTATGGTTAGGCCGAGCTCGCTCGTGATGCTCAGGGATTCATTACAGTTTGTGAGGTTAGCGTGACGCAGAGGTGTCGTCTTCAGCATGAGACGAATTGCCGGAGGCATTGAAAGTGCTGTAAGCGAAACAGGCCGTCCGTCTTCGTGGATGACTTCCTTACGATAGCCTCCTCCGGATGAGGGAATATAGTGCTCTCAAATTCATCGCACACTGAAGCTGGTCACAGGTTGAGTATTGGAAGGGAGTGGCCTGCTAATTTGACGGTGTTCTGCCAGTCATGTCATGTCGAACTTGTATAGAATCGATTCCTTACTTCATGCCACATGCATGGCACACTTCCAAACAAGCCAGTTGTCGTCAACTACTTTACACCGCAAAGTGTGGGGAATTTGATGCATAAATGCTGGAACATAATGAACACGAGCGGGATGCCAGCTTGGTATAGATATACTTCGTATCGTTGCAGGGGCGCTGTCCGGATGGGCGGAATGGGCCCGCCTTCGGCTGCCTTTTCCGTCCAATAGGAGTAGATCAGCGCCCGATTCAAGAAGAAAACAACCAATGGTGACAACACCGCTGCTGGGTTCACTTAATCCCTCTCGACACCGCACCGACTGATCACCCCAGGCATTTGGAACGACTGCATTTGTTATGAAGGTTCGAGAAGAGCTTCCTGCCCAAGTCTGAGTAAAAGTGCTCCGGATGAGTGAAGTATTTCATCCATAACGGAAATCGTCCCCCCCCCCCCCTCCCTCCTCTGGGCTTATTACTAGACATCATCCAGCTGCTCTGAATGTTCCTCCACACCTTCGAAGGATTAATTCAACATGAAAAGAAAAAGGAGAACTGGTGAGGAAACCTTATTAGAATAGCAAAAAAATCGTGGAAAACAAATTAGTAATCTCTCGCCTGTTTGAACCATAGCCGTAGGAATTGTTACGATACCACCACCGGCTATGTCGTCCACTAGAAAAAGTGCAGCAACGAACCAACTGATTCCCCTCGAACTTTTGGACGGGTCCTGGCCATCCATGGCGCTCGGAACCAGTGGTGCGTCTCCTCTTCTTCTGCAAGTGTTCAATGTATTAGATGAAAGAAGAAGTTTTAGCATGCTAAGATCAGCCTCAGATTTAAAACGGAGCGGTTAGGCAATATTTTTGGGCAGTTATTGCCTTTTGAATTCACATAAAAAGGACCAAAAGCCTTGAGTCACTCCGTATTTGCTAGAGAATTTCATAATTTCATGCTTTTCAAAACAAATGGCTTAGGTTTTCGTGCTCACTTAATCTTGTTTACAGCAAAGGCCATCAACGCTGTGTCAAGGCGAAAATGGGCGTTTTGGCACCAGTTTTTCCCGCTTGGTAGAGGGACTAGTGCAGCAGAAAACCTA